CAACAAACAAACAAACAAACAAACAAAAAAAAGTGAAAAGACTAGATTGGCCTAGCCTCCCAGCCTACATCTTTCTCCCATGCTGGACCCTTTCTGCCCTTGAACATTGGACTACAAGTTCTTCAGTTTTGGGGACTCAAACTGGCTTTCCTTGCTCCTCAGGTGGCCTATTGTGGGCCTTGTAATCATGTGAATTAATACTTAATAAACTGTCATACACACTCATACACACTGACACACACACACGCGCGCACACACACGTATTCTATGAGTTCTGTCCCTCTGGAGAACCCTGACTAATGCAGTTACTACTCCATCCCAAAGGTGAAAAGAAAGCTATCCTAGATAAAGTCTTTACAAAAGGAAGATACTCAGTAAAGTAGGTTTGCTTCTTTTTCAGATCTATCCATACTGAGTTCAGGTATAGAGAATGCTTTCTTTGTCCTATTCCTTAATGTACTCCACCCTGAACTCAGTAATTTTAGCTAAGAAAGAGTAGCTAAATTAAAAAGACCATCTATCAAACTAAAATACACCTACCTGGCACTTAACCAGCTGTCTTGAAAGACGTTCGTAAAAGCAATTTACATCTATAAAGGAAATCTCCATTTGTAAGAGCTCTGTCTATGTACATTAGAAACTCTTAAACATTGTTTTAGGTATGACAAGTCACACCTTTGTTTAAGGTGCTTTTCTCACATCTCGACTTAACTGAACTTTTACTTACACCAGTTTTTCCTTGGTTTGAGCAAATGATACAATATGTAGGCCTAAAGTTTTAGCTCTGTGCTTTTGAAATACAAATCTTGTTTCACGTAAGAATTGTGCCTTTAGACATACCAATTTGTTGCCTACTTAACAATTGCTTAGAACAATGAAACAGTTAATTGGAAGACTGATAGGCTGAAGGGGGGAAATCCACTTAGAGTTTGGCAAATGAGAATCCTTTATAAAATCTGTAAGATCTGCTTCTGTCTGTGTTTGTATGTCCATATACATTATGTGTATGTGATAATATTTTGGGGAAAAAAGCTAGTTTTAAAAATTGTTGGTAAAATAGGAATGGCTTCAAAATTATCAGTTAAATATAATTCAATACTTGCTTGATTTGACTGTAAGTTTGTTTTTCGTTGAACCTCTGGATTTGAGAGTCTGGGTAGGTGGCCACGGTGAGGCATGGCAACATGTTCTCAGTACCTAGACCAGCAGCTACAAGACAGAGGCAGGCCCAATATGGACCCTTCTTGTCTCAGCTTTGCCTCCTGGCTATTCTGTGAGGGGTTCCATCCTCCAAGCATTTTCTCCCTGGCTGTGTCTTTTACCCTGACCTCAATACCTGGTATATAAATACAGGACTTAGGCCCTGCTTTTCATAGTCCTCTTGGGTGCCACATGGCTATTTGGAACCCAGGGTGACTGGGAAAGACATTAGGTAGGGTATTTATGCCATAGTTTCAAAATTATTTTCAGGAATTTGAAATTTTAAAGTCGACTTTTGTTAAATTAATAGTCATAAAATGCCTGAGTCATTTTTAAACAAGGTAAAATCCTGAAATATTAGTTATCAGGCATGAGTTTAAGTCCATATACCTTGACATATTATTTTTATGTGGTATAGAAAAGCTAAATATACTTAGATCTGTTAACAATAATTTAGGAAAATGTCTGTCTAAAAATTATAAACTTGTTTTTATCTATAAATACTGATATAAATCAGTTCAAAATTTCTTCCTAATATTTTTGTTTCTTTTTACTCTTTTTTTCTCTAAACTTCTCTTCTCACTTCATTTCATTCATTCGATCTTCAATCACTGATAGCTTTTCTTCCAGTTGATTGAATCGGCTACTGAAGCCTGTGCATTCATCACGTAGTTCTCGTGCCATGGTTTTCAGTTCCATCAGGTCATTTAAGGACTTATCTACACTGGTTATTCTAGTTAGCCATTCATCTAATCTTTTTTCAAGGTTTTTAGCTTCTTTGCGATGGGTTCAAACTTCCTCCATTAGCTCAGAGATGTTTGATCATCTGAAGCCTTCTTCTCTCAACTCGTCAAAGTCATTCTCCTTCCAGCTTTGTTCCATTGCTGGTGAGGAGCTGTGTTCCTTTGGAGGGGGAGAGGCACTCTGATTTTTAGAATTTTCAGCTTTTCTGCTCTGTTTTTTCACCATCTTTGTGGTTTTATCTGCCTTTGGTCTTTGATGATGGGATGTACAGATGGGGTTTTGGTGTGGATGTCCTTTCTGTTTGTTAGTTTTCCTTCTAACAGTCAGGACCCTCAGCTGCAGGTCTGTTGGACTTTGCTGGAGGTCCACTCCAGACACTGTTTGCCTGGGTATCAGCAGTGGAGGCTGCAGAACAGTGAATATTGCTGAACAGCAAGTGTTGCTGCCTGATCATTCCTCTGGAAGCTTTGTCTCAGAGGGGTACCTGGCCATGTGAGGTGTCAGTCTGCCCCTACTGGGGGGTGCCTCCCAGTTAGGCTACTTGGGGGTCAGGGACCCACTTGAGGAGGCAGTCTGTCCATTCTCAGATCTCAAATTCCATGCTGAGAGAACCACTACTCTCTTCAAAGCTGTCAGACAGGGACATTTAAGTCTGCAGAGGTTTCTGCTGCCTTTTATTCAGCTATGCCCTCCCTGCCAGAAGTGGAGTCTACAGAAGCAGGCAGGCCTCCTTGAGCTGTGGTGGGTTCCACCCAGTTCAAGCTTCCCGGCCCCTTTGTTCAACTACTCAAGCCTCAGCAATGGCGGGTGTCCCTCCCCCAGCCTCGCTGCCACCTTGCAATTCTCAAGACTGTTGTGCTAGCAGTGAGCGAGGCTCTGTGGGTGTGGGACCCTCCAAGCCAGGCACGGGATATAATCTCCTGGTGTGTCGTTTGCTAAGACTGTTGGAAAAGCACAGTATTAGTGTGGGAGTGACCTGATTTTCCATGTGCCGTCTGTCACAGCTTCCCTTGGCTAGGAAAGGGAATTCCCTGACCCCTTAGGCTTCCATGGTGAGGTGATGCCTCACCCAGCTTCGGCTCACACTCGGTGGGCTGCACCCACTGTCCTGCACCCACTCTCTGACAGGTCCCAGTGAGATGAACCTGGTACCTCAGTTGGAAATGCAGAAATCACCCATCTTCTGCATCGCTCATGTTGGGAGCTGTAGACTGGAGCTGTTCCTATTCGGCCATGTTGGAACTGCCCCTCTCTTCCTAATATTTTCACTAGAAATTAGGTTACTGAGAGTTAAAATTGTAGTTAATATATGTAATTAAAACTACTGGATATGAAAAAAACAATTATTTATACAGAATGTATAAACAAAAGCAAGATATGCTTTTGGTGAGGAAAGTTGTAAAGGCATAAAAATGTGTGTTGACATAAAAATAATTTTGTCTAGTGTAGAAGTTTCTTAAAAATTTCAAATTGAATACAAAATAGGTAAAACTAAATGAATATAGGGAGTTTGGAAGAGCAAGAAAATGTAAAACAAAAAGGGTGTATGAAAATCTTGTGTGGCTAAAAGATGACAGATCTGATAGATTTAAAAGGTTTTATTACAATTAGCTTTAGTGTTGATAATATACTAATCCAAAAGTAAAATTTGGTTTTCTGTTTTGAACAAAAATTTAATGTAGTGTTAACATGTCAGTAAAATGTTTTTGTTCACCTTTTGAGTAAAAAGCAAAAAATAAGAAACAGTGATAAGAGAGAGAGACATATTCCATCTCATGGTGTATCTCTCAGGTATTTTGATTGTCTGGAAAACCGGGTCTTCTTTCAAAGTATAAAAGTTTTTGCTTTTTTGAAAATCTTTAAATTACTATTTCGGCTACATGAATGATCATTATTTTACAGTGACCTGTGATTCTATTTTGGTTAAGTGTTTTAAAACACATATTTGACAGGTTTCCTAAAATCAAATTTCATCTTCATAATTAAGTCTTTTTTTTTTTTGACCCCTAAAGTTAGGATGCTAGAGAAGGACCCTGCAGCATCCAAAGGCGAGAGAAATAGAATTATTTGATGTGTTAAATTACATGGGAAGCCTTATCAAATAAGAAATGATGTTTAACCTTCTTTGAGTTGTATTTCATAAATATGTTATTAATATATGTTCCAAAATTGTATGGCATTCTTAAAATTCTGATATGTCTGGGTATAGACTATCACTCATAACTACGGTTAATATGTTAAATTATTGTAGACTACAGAAATAACCAAATTTCCTGTGGATTGTGTCCTTATGCCTATCTTAAGTCATTTCCACAGTTAATTACTTAATTCTGATGCAGTTTCTGAAAACTTCACAAGCAAGCAAAATCCTAGAATCTTGTGTCTTCAAGGAGGTTCATTAAAGGATGGAAAGGACACTAATAAGCATTCCTGAATATAGGTTCCTGGTAACTATATGACCATATCATTTGAATGGGGTAAAAATTCCCTTTATGATATCTTTTATAATAAGCCAGTAAACTAAGTAGGTGTTTTCCTCAGTTTTCTGAGCTGTCCCAGCTGAACCCAAGGAAGGGCTTGTGGGAACCTCAGTCTCCAGCCAGTCAAAGGACAGGTGACAACCTACTACTTGCAATTGGCATCTTAAGTAAGCTAAGTGTTGTGAGACTGAGCCCTCAATCTGTGGAATCTTCACCATCTTCAAGTAAATAGTTTCAGAATTAAATTGAATTATAGGATATCCAGTTGGTACCTGCTTGGAAAATTGTTGGGGCGGGGGTGGGTGGGGAAACCTTTACATTTGGTCACAGAAGTGTTCTATATTGAGTTTGAGACTAGAAAGCAAAAAAAAACAAAAAAAAACAAAAAAAAAAATTGTCTTTTCCTTTACAGAATCTAAGCCCTCAATAGAATGACACCACTGTGTGGTCAGGAATGGAGAAACCCAAGAAAATTTAGCATCCCAATATTCAGGTGTCTTCAGTATGTAAAAATTCTTTTACATCCATGCTTTAAAAGAACTTAAAGTCATTTGATAATGAAAACAATACTTCCAGTTTGGTGTCTAATACTTTTACTTCCCAGCAGCATAATACCACTTTGGTCAGGTTGAACCACTGCACAATTTTGCAGCTTTTTCAGAAAAATAATGAAAACAATTGGAAAGACATGATGTACATGCAAGTGGTGAGAAAATGATACTATTGTCCAATCCTTCCCCATAAATGTAAAATATCCTTAGTTCATCTCCAAACTGTGTATTTGTTATAAGCCCTTATATCAGGGATTTTGTTTCTTTCAGTTTTTGTAGCACCAAATAGACACAGTGGCTAACAAGAAATAAATCTGAAAAGTCACTGAAATATTTATCACATGTCAGAAATTTTCTGATCTATACCTTTAACCATGTTCCTGGCTTCACATATTCTTCTTAAGAACTATAACATAAGATTGAGTTCTCACCCTGTATTTGCTACTGATGTGATTTGTTTACCATGAATAATACTTCATTAATATCTTTTGTATATTACTTTACAATTTCCAAGTATTTTATATACAGTGACTCACTTAGTGACTCATTCATTTCAGTGTAATGGTGTCCCCCCAAACCACAGATAATGATTAGACACATGAGCTCTTGTGTCAGACTGCGTGGGTTCAAATCCCGGTTCCACCTGCTAGCTGTGTGGCCTTGGACAAGTCACATAATATATCTGTGCTTCAGTTTTTTTAATCTATAAAATGGAACCTACTGAATAGAGTTGTTGAAGGGATTTAATGAGATAGTCCATAAAAGCACTCAGCACAGTAGCTAGAAAATAGAGCTGCATAAATGTTAGTTATTAATAAATTACTTACCTACCTCACCGGGGTATAACTGTGGTTTATAGATAAACTAAGCAGCATTTTCGAGCAGTGTTTTTATAAAAGCAAGCTCACATAAATCCGTGCAGGGAGTATTTCATGATTTCCATGGGGTGAGGAATTTTATTTTCTCTATCAGGTGTGAAGAGGACCCAGTGGACAGTAAACTCTCTAGTTATTGCTAGGGTAAATGTGGGAGAGTTTCTCACAGTAAACTCCACAAGGGATTGTGTCTGTTTTGTTTGCTGTTGCATTTCCAGAACCTAGCATGCACTAGGTACACAATACATATTTGTTAAATGAATAAACACAGGGAAACATCTGAATAAGTGTGTGATTAAACTTCAGCTTAGTATATTCTAGGAATCAAATATGAAAGGATAAGTGATCTTTTGAAAGTAGGAAGAGATTTAGGGATGGTGTCTCCAATTATTATGAATTTCTTAGAGAACGGTTGTTAATAAATATCAAAGGGATAATATGCATAATGATCTTTTTATATAAAAATGACAACATCTTTTATAAAATTTAAAAATGGGGCTTTATGTTTGAATCATTCCTGCCAGAAAATTCAGAAAGCTTATATAAAGAACTAGAAAGGTTGGGTTCAACTCAGTGTAAAAACTCTGTATCCCCAAACATTGTTCCTTATCCACTGTTCAAATGTCCTCAAATCTTTGAAGTCTTTAATTAATGAAATTCCAAATTCATACATCTAAAAAGTTTTTATAAAGACTCAGTTATGGTTCCAACCATGAAATTTAGAAATCATAGTGACAATCAGTATAATATAAGCTGGTAAAATCTGTGAGATTTTCAGAAGGTAAAATCCATTTTTTTGTCTATTCATTAATTCAGTCATTTATTCATCCAACAAATACTGAGTACCTACGTTGTGCCAGACAGAGGTCAAGGCAGTCACAGCCCTTTCTCTATAGAGGTTTCCAGCTAGAGAGGGATGAGATGGGTCAGGTCACCCCGTATTTTGGAAGATCTTTTCCATGTTGGCCTCCCTGAATCTTCAGAGCATTGAGTTCTATGTTGTCTAAAGCTGGTCTTATGAACAGGCTGTGTCTGTATGATAAAAACAAACTAGCTAAAAGATGAGAAATTCTGGCATTATTCACACATCCACACATATCTATAGATGTTTAAAATAATGTAGACAAAATATTTCACCTCTTGGAGTCCTACAGGCACAGTTGAGTAACAGGAAATGAGATAAGATCAGTTTGATGTCACAGTTGAAAACTGCATTTGTAAATTGTGTAATCCATCTCGAGCCAAGTTCTTTGGAGACAGCCTAAAATCCTTAAAAAGCCTATGCATGCTAGATTTTGCATTTAGATCTAAGTATTGTCTTAAAAGATTGTGATTGTTCACATAACTGGAGAATTCCCTATTGACTACATGATTGAGGAAACACAAGTCTGTTATTCTTTCCAAAGTCAATTGTAACTTAAGCTCATTATCTCCCTGCAGATGTTCTGTTTCAAATGACAACAGAATCAAAATGCAAATGCTCCAGTGAAAAGGCTTGAAAGCTCTCTTTTACTGAACTATACTCCATGTATTTGTCTTCAAAATCATAGCAGGAAAAAGTTTAGAAAAATCTATCCCACTGACCACTGACCTAAAAAAGGGAAAAAATTAAATTTCACCAGGATTTCTGGTGATATCGTAGCAGTTTTTTTTTTTTATTTTTGACTTTTAATACCTAATTTGTTTATTACATTGAATTGAGCTTCATGTCAGAGCAATGCAGGTTTTTAGTTTAATATAATCTGGGACATGTCAGTGGCTCTAATATGATCATTAATAATGAAGATAATTAGTATAACACAAGTTGTGGTAATTTTTTCCCTCTTCTTCTGGTTTCAGTGAAACTTAGGAGAACCACAAGTGGCTTAAGTCTTAGTGATCGCTACTTCTGATTAAAGCTTTAGGAAAAGGCTTACATTTCAACCAATAAGATTTTACTGAAGGAAAATGGTCATTTGTATATGAGACCACTCTGAAGTATAATCCGTCCTTAGAAGTCCTAGGTGTGATGGATTGCCTCTTTACTTTGACAAACAATCTGGCATACCTTTATCAACACTTAGCATTAAGCAAATGAAGCGTAAATACAAAGGCTTCTAGAAAACACAAATGTAAGCTATCTTACCACTTGATAGTTGTTTCTGTAACACTGTGACAATATTTGTATTGATGTGAAACCATATGATAACTTTAATATTGAACAAACACTTATGACTAAGTGAAAACATACTCACTCACCTTAAGCTCCAAATTTATACAATGTATTGAAATGTGTTGAAATAACCATTTTCTCATGGCAAGGGTTCAATGATTTCCCTTTATGAGAATCCTGTGGCATTGCCTGAATAGCTTTAATATATCTTTGTTAAATGATAACTAAAATATATGTTTTATTAAATTTTTCTTATAAAAATGTGATCTCTTTCAAACTGAATAATACATCGTCTCCATTCATTCCCTTTTATCATGCTTGTCTATTTTGTAAATCTATTTTACATAACATTCAGGGTCCTCACTGACCCCACCCCACCACCCCCGTTGTCTCTAGTAAAAAATGATATGTATTCAAGGATGGGAATCTGTTACCACAGCGGGGCATTGTTGAAATTAGCGAACGTCCTAGTTTCCTTGCTGTTTTTCCTCTGGTGAGGGATGCATTGTGAAGAGCAGGGAAAACCTGGTATTGACAATACTATCACCCAACAGGGCATAATAAAATGTGCTGGGTAGTTTTGATTGGTTTTGTTTTATTTACAAGAAGACAGTCTAAACTGAGCTTCATACATTTCTATTTTGGGGGATTATCTGAAGTGTCCAATTGTATTGTATCTTGGGGAATCAATTTCTGTATTTGAGAATAAGGAATATTCAAATATTTGCCTCTGGTTTCCTGATCTATTTTGAATACTTCAACTAAGCAATTATCCTTTTCTCAGATACATTTCTGTGCTTAAGGTATTCAAATGCTCAAATAATTATTGCTTCCTATTTATTTCATAAAGATCAGACTTAGGTGCCTAGATTTACCATAAACCAAAAATTATGACCTGTAAAGGTAGTTCTAACAGATTATTTTCTAGGGAATGATATTTTCTGGAAGATGGTATCTCACTGTCTATTTACCTATGGGAATATATTAACAAAGTAGGTGGTTTTTTTTTTTTTTCTCTATAGAGGAAGCAGCATCTGCCATTCACAATATTGATATCACTGGTTTCCATCTGCCCAATTATAAGAGAAATAATATTTGTTTATGTTAGAGTGCCAAAAATATCTAGTTTATATTTGGGGAAATTGACCTAAACTTTGTGTGACATAAATATTTGAATATATATGCACATATAATTTAGTTTTGCTAAGTTTTAAAATACGAAATAGGCTTCCATGACAGCACATCAGTGTCAGTAGAGTTTAGATTTCTTCAATGTTTATCAATCAAAAAGTATAAAACTCAACAAAAAATATTGAGAGTAGGGTTATGTATATAACATATGAGAATCTGTTCACGGGGCTAGGTCCTTTGCTAGTATTCTCTTACTAGATTCTTAACACTTGGTAAGAAAGGAACCTAAGTTGTAACAAATGCACTCTGATAATATATATTTTGTAGAATAAATATACATTATATTCTGTTGGAATTAATAATAATAGATACAAGCAATAATTAGATCAAAAACTACAGTGCTAGAGTTCCTACCCTTGCTTCTAACAAACTGAAAGTTGAGCTAAAATTGGTCCATTCTATTAATGCATAATAAAATTCGTGGAAACAAAATAAAAATCCGACTGCTTCTAGAACCTGAAGAAAATATAAATATACTATGATACCTTGCGATTTTCAAGAGGAAAACAGAGGTTGAACTTGCAATTAACTGGAATTCCAATTCAGACAACTCAGCACTATGGATTGTGGAGCAGGTCAGGGTAAGGGGCAATGTGTAGGTTTCTGTTACGTGGCAACACCCTTTGAACTGATGCAGTTTGAATTATAGCCTAATGAGGGGTTTGCTAATATCTGGAAAAGCTATGGACCCAAGATTCACTCAATCTTGGCCCTGGTGATTTATTTAAAAGTCACAGACTTTATTCTTCTTACACTGTTTCAGTTTGCAGACTAGAAAACCTCTCCCTCTGCACACTGAGAATTCCCACTGCCGTGAATGGAAGGTCAATGTATGTAAAGCCCACGTGAGCAGTGGCGGTTCAAGCCCAGAGAAAGAAGGTGTCGAGTTGCCTTGGTAAAGAATTTATACACCATGTGTTCACAGCTTCTTGACAGGTATAATTATCTGTGTTGTCTTTTACTATGTGCTGGGATTCTGAAGCACGATTTCAAATTTGTGACTATAGGATGTTTGATCAAGTAGCTTTCCCTCAAGGGCCTGAAAGGGAAAAAGAGTGAAGAGAAATCAGTGATTAGTATTCATTTGTCAACTACAATATGCTAAAAATATCAAAAGAGCATATGCTATGTGAGAACAGCAAGGATTATTTTGGGTGCTATCATTCTTGCACCATCTTCCACATATGAAAAAATTCGTTTGATGTTTGCAAAGGAAGTAATTATCAAATGAAGATGGAAAAGCCACAGTTGTTCCCTAAAATGAAATAAAGAACACCAGTTTGGAAACATTTCAAATGTAAAACATTTCTCTCTTCCATTTCCAGATGATTCTATTTTTCCTCATGAAGGCAAAGAATAACCAACATTTATGTTATGACTCTTAGGGCTTTTTGTAGTGCTTTTGTTGAGGTGGAAGCCAGCAAAACCTCCCTCTGCTGGGCTGGAAGCACCAATATTCCTTCTCTGACGCAGACATTAAATCTGTCTCTCTTCATGAGGTCAGCCTGACACCACGTGGAACAGAATAGGCAATTGCCTCTATGGTCAGATTTTGGGGAGCAGTCTTGCCAGACACTTCCCCCCATACCTGCCACTCTTCCACGATTAGGGGGTCATTTCTTTCAGAAAGAACAGTGATTTTTACATCTTTGTTCTCTAAGCTGCAGATATTTTTATTTCAGTGAATGCCAAGCACCATATTGAAAACAGATTTTAACAAAATTGTTCTGTTTACTTTACGTCAACACTCTCCAGCTGCCGTGCTTTAGAGAGATGTGCCCAACCTCCCCTGGGGTCTACTGAGTGGTTTGAACACCGTGCATAAAGCCATTGTGTTTCCTCAGGAGTCACTGAGATATTATATAACAACACATGAGCGTTAACATTTTAACTATTACAACATCACCACTCTGACTACTACTCCTATGACTAATGAAAATTTATGGAGTGCTCACTAAGTGTCACACAGTTTGTTAAGAGTTTCACTTTTTTTTCATATTTAATCTCCACAACAGACCATTTTACTGAAATCTTAGATTGAATAACTTCCTAAAGGTCATTTAGCTGTACAGTGACCAGAGATCTAGACTGAGTTCTTTTTTTTTTTTGAGATGAAGTAAATCTTTGCTTCCCGGGCTCAAGCGATTCTCCTGCCTCAGCCTCCTGAGTAGCTGGGACTATAGGCATGTGCCACCAACCCCAGCTAATTTTTGTATTTGTAGTAGAGATGGGGTTTCCCCATGTGAGCCAGTCTGGTCTCAAACTCCCGACTTCAGGTGATCTGTCCGCCTTGGCCTCCCAAAGTGCTGGGATTACAGGTGTGAGCCACCGTGCCTGGCCTAGAGGCTGAGTTCTTAATGAATGATATGATAATATAATTACATGTCCTGAAGGAATGGGACTCAGAACAGGTGAGTTTGGGTAAGTCTTGGATCTTTTCACCTATCCAGGGCAGGAGTCAGCCTGAGAGAAAGCACTGGGCATTCAACATGTGGGCCACTGACATACCTGTTGGGAAGAACCAGCTGCAACAAATGTTAATATTGCCCTCAGTTATGATTTATAATTTAACTGATTAACAATTTATTTTTAACAAAAGCTTCTTTTCCATATTAGTGTGAATCTGGTTGATCAAATTGCCTTACTAACTCTTAAAAGAGCCATTGTGGTAGAAGAATAGTGCCTCCTCATCCACTAAATGTTAAGTCCACATCCTAATCTCCAGAACCTATAAATATGTTAGATTACATGACAGGGAAATTAAGGTTGTAAATGAAATTAAGGTTGCTAATCAGCCTATGTTAAAATAGGAAATTTATCTTGGATTATTTAGTTCAACCCAATGCAATTAAAAGTGGAAGAGGGATGTGTCAAAGGAAAAAAATCACAAGAGAAATTTAAAGAATATTTTGAACCAAGTAAAAATGAAAAATAAAAATGTTTTGATAAGTTGTGGGAACAAAAAAATGAATCATCTATACCTCTTCCCTAGGAAACTAGAAAAAGGGCAAATTAAATCTAAAGTAAGCAGAAGAAAACAAATAATAAAAATTAATGCAGATTAATTTTTCATTAATAAAAATTAATGTGGAAGAAATCAATGAAATTGAAAATAGGAAATTAATAGAGAAAATCAATGAAATCAAAAGCTGATTCTTTAAAATGATAAATAAAAACCAAGCACTGTGGTGCATGCATGTAGTCCCAGCTACTCAGGAGACTGAGATGGAAGGATTGTGTGAGTCCAGGAATTTAAGTTCAGCCTAGGCAACATAGCAAGACCCCCTATCTCAAAAAAAATAAAATAAAAAGACTGATAAAATCAATAAACTTCTAGCCATGCTAACAAAAAGGAAGAGAGGACACAAATTATTACCAATATTAGAAATGAAAGGAGTCACATCACTACAAATACCATGGACATTAAAAGGATATTAAACAAAATACTATGAACAACTTTATATCCACCATTTTGATAACCGAGATAAAATGGACCAATTCCTTGAAAGACACAATCTGCCAAAACTCACATAAGAAGAAATAGACAATTTGAATAAGTCTATATTTATAAAAGAAATTGAATCAATAATTAGTAACATTCCAAAGCAGGAAGTACCATACCCTGATAGGTTCACTGGAGAATTCTACCAAAATTTAAGAAGTAAGTTATACCAATTGTCTATAATTGCTTTCAGCATATCAGACAGAAGCAGAGGGAATACTTCCTAACTCATTCTATATGGCCAGCATTACATTAATACCAAAGCCAGATGAAGACACTAGAAGGAAAAAAAACCTAACTACACACCAATATCTCTCATGAAAATAAATTTAAAAATCCTCAACAAAAGTTAGCAAATCAAATCCAACAAGATATAAAAATGTTAATGACCTTAATGTCCATTCATAAGAGATTGATTATTGTATATCTAGACAGTAAGACTTTACACAGATATTTAAACTGTAGACCTAAGTCTACTAATGTTAACCATATTGTTTAATTTTTAAAAATCAGGCTATAATTTAGTATGTAAAATATGAGTGAAAATAAGCATATATATATATATAAACACATACATATAAACATACATATATAGAAATTACATGTCTGGAGAAAAAACAACGTGTACTAAAATGAAGTGAGATCATAGCTGAAAGGTTAATTTATTCTTTATACTTCTCTACTGTCTAAAAATTTTGCAATGAAAAAGTGTCACTTTCATAGACAATAAACATCAAATGTAAATCAGTAGAAATAAATTAAACAGTTTTACAAGCACCAAGACAACAACACAAATGAAAGAGGGGGACAGAAAAGAGCATTGTAATGAAGGCAGAGGTCAGAGAAATGCAATGTGAGAAGGACTCCACCACCGCTACTGGTTTTGAAGATGGAGGAAGGGCCCAGGAAGCAATGAATTTTTCCCCCAGAGCCCCCTAAAGCCCAGTAAAACTGTGTTGGACTTCTATCCTACAGAATTACAAGATATATTTTTAAAATTTGATATTCAATTGGCAAATAATAATTGTATATGTTTGTGATGTACAAATTTCTGATGTACAAATACATTTGTGATGTACAAATATATTGAATTGATGTTTTGATATGTTTACAATGTGAAATGATTAAACAAGATAAAATAATTAACACATTTTATCACCATACACACTTATTTTTTGTGGTGGAAATATTTAAAATCTATCCTTTTAACAATTTTGAAATAGACATTATTATTTAACTCATCATTCTGTGCAATAGATCACTAAAGCTTATTCCTCCTGTCTAACTGAAACTTTATACCCTTTGGTCAACTTCTCCCCTTTCTTTTCCTGTTCACCCTTCTTCTGAAACCTCTGATAATCACCATTCTCCTCTCTACTTCTATGAGTCTTTTTTTTTTTTTTTTTGAGACAGAGTCTCCCTCTGTCGCCCAAGCTGGAATGCAGTGGTGCGATCTCGGCTCACTGCAACCTCCACCTCCTGGGTTCAAGCGATTCTTCTGCCTCAGCCTCCTGAGTAGCTGGGATTACAGGTGCACCACCACGCCTGGCTAATTTTTGTATTTTTAGTAGAGACAGGGTTTCACCATATCGGCCAGGCTGGTCTCAAACTCCTGACCTCGTGATCCATCAGCTTCGGCCTCCCAAAGTGCTGGGATTACAGGTGTGAGCCACCGCACCCGAAGAAGTCTAACTTTTTTAGATTCCACTTATAGGTGAGAAATGTGGCATTTGTTCTTCTGTGCCTCGCTTATTTCACTTAGCACAATGTCTTCCAGGTTCATCCATGTTGTTGCAAATGACAGGATTTCCCTCCCTTTTGAGGCTGAATAGTATTCTGTTATGTATATTCATTTAACTGATGCTGGACACCTATGTAGCTCCTTTATCTTAGCTAGTGTGAACAATGCTGCAATCTACATGTACTGCAGGTATCCTTTTAACATGCTAATTTCGATTCATTTGGATATATCCCCAGAAGTGAGATTGTTGGATCATATGGTGGTTCTAATTTTAGTTTTTGAGGACCCTCCTCTATATTTTTTCCCAAAATGTCTGTATTAATTTACATTCCCACCACTGTTGCATAAGGATTCCTCTTACTCCACACCTTTGCAAACACTTGTTATATATTTTTTTCTTTTTTAAAATTTAAAATTTTACTTTTTTTTTTTTTTAACAGATGGGGGTCCCACTGCGTTGCCCAGGGTGGACTCAAATTCCTGGACTCAAACAACCCTCCTGCCTCACCTCCTCCTCCTCTGTAGCTGGGACTACAGGTGCTTGCTACCACATCTGGCTTTGTCTTTTTTTTGATAATAGCCATTCTAAGAGGTGTGAGGTGAGATCTCACTGTGGTTTAAATTGCATTTCCCTGATTATTAGTGACAATGAGCATTTTTCATGCATCTGTTGGCTATTCCTTAGGCTTCTTTTGAGAAATGTCTATTAAGTCATTTCCCCATTTTTGATTGGGTTGTTTTCTTGCTATTGAGTTTTTTAAGTTTCATACATATTTTGGATATTAGTCCTTTATCA